ATAAATTTAAAAGCAGTTAAAAACTTCAAAGAATTATGTCAAAATTTATCAACAGAAGTCGGACCTCGCGGGTTTTATTGTCTTTCTAACAAAAATGAGACAAAAATATTTCCATCTACTCCAGATGATTATCGAAAAATAATAAAACTATTAAAAGCACAAAATGCAACATTCTACACATATCAATTACAGAATGAAAAACCATTTCGTGTTGTCATTCGAAATCTTCATCACACTACAGAAATATGTGAAGATATCAAATTCGAACTCGAAGAACTAGGATACAGTGTAAAAAATATTTGTAACGCAAAACATCCCAAAACAAAAGTACCACTACCGATATTTGTTATAGATTTGGAACAAAGTCCAACTAATCAAGAAATTTTTAATCTAGAATTTTTATTATATACTATAATAAAAGTAGAAGAACCATACTTAAGAAAGGGATCACCACAGTGTCAAAGATGTCAAACCTATGGCCATACAAAAGGGTACTGTAGTCTTCCCGCCAAATGTGTTAAGTGCGCTGGACCACACCTCACAGCAAACTGTACAAAACCTAAAGAAACGCCCGCCATTTGTGCTAACTGCGAAGGTGCTCACCCTGCCAATTACAAAGGATGCGCTACATTCAAAAAACTAATATATCTAAAAAACAAACCATTTGTCAACCATATAACTCCATATCAGGTTTAGAGATAGATCTCCTCTCTTCAAAAACTCCAAATATAATGGATACTTCAACAGCCAAATTAATATCAATAGAAAGAAATGAAGAGCACATTAAATCAGTTAAAAAATTAGAAGAGAAAGATCTAACACCGCAGAGTAGTGATAAACCATTTACCGTGGCAGGGGTCTCCTGTGCTAAGGTAACAGGAAGATATCCTTCTACAGTTTCTATCCAACCTTCTACTTCAACTTTTAATTTTTCTTCAGCTATAAAATCTTCTATGGAACCTCTTCTAACTGAACTTAAATCCCTTTTATCCCCTATTTTAGAACTTCTAACTAAACTAGTTTCTACTTTCATTTCTAATCCTTCCAATGACTAATTCGAAATCACCTTCTCTAAAAATACTCCTATGGAACTCCAATGGTCTGCTCCAACGAAAAAATGAACTGGAAATTTGTTTAAAAGAACATGACATAAACATAGCTCTGATTACTGAAACTCATTTAACAGACAAACAAACATTTAAGCTACAAGATTACGAAACTTACAGAACTGACCATCCAGACCACACAGCGCATGGAGGAACTGCAATTATTGTGGACAAATCCTTAAACCACCATATTCTTCCTGCTGTTTCTACGAATTCCCTACAATGCACCAATATTTCTCTAAACTCCTCAAAATTCCAACTCACGATTGCCTCAGTCTATATAGCTCCCAATAAAGTTATATCCACGAATGAATTAAAGGCTATTTTCTCGACAATGGGAAAATCATACATTGTAGGAGGAGATTTTAACGCTAAAAACACAAGGTGGGGATCTAGAGTGTCCAATACTCGTGGAAAAAGCCTACAAAAATGTATCGCAGATTTGAATTTTTCTGTAATTTCGCTATCTCAACCTACTTACTGGCCTACTTCACTATCAAAGTCTCCCGATCTTCTTGATTTCTTTGTCACAAGCTCCTTACCACATCACATTCCAACGTTTCCTCTCTCCTTGACCTTTCATCTGATCATAGCCCAATTTTACTTGAACTTTCCAACAACCCTTTCGTTAAACCCAAACCCCCGACATTAATTAACGGTTACATAAACTGGGACGACTTTAAACATTTTTTGAACAACAAAATTACGTTAAACACTTTAATTAGTACAGCTGACGACCTCGACAATGCAGTCAACGACCTAACAAAAAGTATACCAGAAGCTATTTGGCATTCAACGAGACCACCAAAGACATACACTAAACCTGCTTCTTACCTACCTCAGCCAATACATAATCTTATAAAATAAAAACGTAGGATTAGAGCCCTATGGCAAAGAACTAGACATCCTTCGTACAAAACAGAACTCAACAAACTAACTAGAAAACTTCACGAAAAACTATTAAAATTTAAAAATGACAGCTATAAAGACTATATAGACACCATAAAAAATAGAAATGGATCAATATGGACCACAACAAGACGTATACTAAAGAAAAAAGACCTTCAATACCCTCTCCGACGTACAGACAACACTTGGGCAATAACAAGCGAAGAAAAAGCCAATGAATTCGCTAAATATCTTGCACAAGTATTTGGGACAAACACAATACAGGACAATAATTTTACTGACGCAATAGAAGAAGAATTGACAACACCACTACCCTTATCACTACCCCCACCGGCATTTCATCCAAAAGAAATTTACAAAGAAATCAACAGACCGCCAAACAAAAAAGCTCCTGGCCATGATCTAATCAATCCCTTTATTCTTCGACACCTACCTCTAAAAGCTGTTTTGTTTCTTACTCACATCTATAACTCCATTTTACGCACTACCTTCAAAACCTACCACTTCTCCTTCATCCTATCGTCCTATAGCACTTCTTCCAATAATGGGCAAACTATTTGAAAAACTATTACTAAACCGTCTAAAGCCTATTCTAGAATATAGTGAAGTGATACCAAATCACCAGTTTGGCTTTCGCTGTTATCACTCTACTGTCCAACAGTGCCATCGGATAGTAGATGCTATCTCTATGACTTTTGAAAAAAAGGAATATTGCTTTGCTGTCTTTCTCGACATAGAGAAAGCATTTGATAGTATCTGGCACAAGGGCCTATTATGGAAACTAAAACCGCACTTACCTTACACTTATTGTTTAATTCTTCAATCCTACTTTCTTAATAGATTTTTCTGTACTTCCGTAGATTCTTCTGTATCTTCCTTCTTTCCCCAACACAAAGGCGTACCACAAGGTAGCGTCTTAAGTCCAATCCTCTATTCTATATACACTTCTGATATCCCTGAGCACCCTAATACCACCAGTTATTGCTTCGCTGACGACACTGCTATTCTAACTTCACACAAAAATCCTACTATCGCATCAATAGCCCTACAAAACCATCTTCATGATCTTGAAAAGTGGTTTGAAAACTGAAGAATCAAAATTAATAGTACAAAATCCAACCACATTAGTTTCTCTCTTAGGAAAGCCTCATGTCCACCCATAACGATTGCCAATAATCCAGTGCCTTCAAAGAACTATGTACGGTACCTTGGACTCTACTTAGACAAACGACTTACTTGGAACATACATACGAAATTAAAAATACAAGAACTTACCAGACGATATAGCCAACTTTCACATCTTCTGGACTACAGATCTTCACTTAACTTACGAGACAAGCGACTTATCTACAACGCCTTACTGAGACCAATATGGAAATATGGAGCAGAACTTTGGGGTTCAGCAAAACAAACACACATAAATAAAATACAAACAGCACAATACAAATTTTTACGAAAAATTGTTAACGCACCTTGGTACATTTCAAACACTACTATACATAACGACTTAAACACCCCAACAGTAAAATCCTACATCCACGACAAATACACTATATTTCATTCTTCAACCCAAAATCACTCCAATCCTCTGGTTCTTTCTATCTCCTGCTTCCTGTTACATGAGCAACGAAGATTAAGAAGAAAATGGCCAAGAGACCTACTACATCAATAAAAACATCAACATAAAAAAAAATCAAGCAATTACAACAAGACAATAAAAACACAACAAATTTGCTAGATGCGCAGCTGCGCAGGTGAAAATTGCATAAAATAAAATATAAATATAAATTAGTGAATAATTTGATGAATTTTCCCTTTGTGATATTTCAACAGTATCCACTTACAATCAGTGTGACAACTTTTGACCTCTCTATGGCAGACAATGAAAATCTCATAATTCCATTTTAGTCAACTTTGAAATGAAAATAACAGTTTATTTTATTGTTATAAATAGTTTATTAACAATTTATAAATATTGTCGTACACTCCGATAATATGCGAAATAGGATTTTCGATATTTTAATTGTATTTATGATTTGTTAGCTGGAAGCTTTTAGTTTTAGCTCCGTTAAAAATGCAATTCAAAAATTTTATAATAGCCCAACATGGCCAGAAAATAATTTCTATTCAAAGTTGAGCGGTAAGTGTAAGTTGTGCGCACCGGATTTTTTTTTTTTTTGGTGATAAAATATTTTAATTCAGAAGCTTAACATAAGGTTTGATAGGATTTCGAGGTATTAATGTTATTAATAATATTAATTTTATTAATATTATACAAAATAGACGATTTTTGCACGTTTTTAGATTTATTACATATTTGTGTTTTAACTGCACGATTTTGAGTTTTTACTACAAGTTTTTCAGATTTTTACTGCACGTTGATCCGGTCTATAATTATGACATTGAAAGCAGTTTAAATAATTAATAATAAAAACGTGGGTGATAAAGGGTCAGGAGGCAGTCATTATACAATTTTTTTTTTTTGCCAACGTTTCCACCCAAACATGTGGGTCATCTTCAGTACTCGTACAGTACTTGAAAACCTTCAGTGCTCGAACCAAGCCCTGAAGATGACCCACATGTTTGGGTTGAAACGGCAAAAATAAACAAAAGTTGTATAATGACTAACAGTCGACTAGCTTCCTTTAATAATAATATATTTAATAACCTTTAACAATATATTAGGAATTTCATTTACCTGCTCTGAATCACCTACTCTATCATATTTATTAGTACAATTTGGAAGACGACAACATTATCCATTTTAGCGATAGTAACATGTAGCTTCACATTAACTTTGGTTAATTAAGGAACTGAAAAACAGAACTATGAAAATATTATGTCAGCTAAAAACTCAAGGATCTAATCAGTACTTTTAGATCTATTTATATGATTATAATTTTCGACACTCACTAAACAGATTTTTTTCTGAATAAAGGAAAATTTTATGTACTGGTGTTGAACTGTCATTTTATCTTTTTACAGCCAAGGATAAACGTGTTGCACGTAAAGGAATTTTGAGAGGAAAAATTTCAGCCGAACAAAACCTAGAACAGAAAACAAGGCCTGAAACTTTATATGTTAAAAAAGGTTTGTTATGCTTAAAATTTTATAAATATACTTTTCTTATCTTCGTTGGTTATTCAATTTGTGGCTTATTTGGTATTGAACAGTTCTATTTTACTAGGTATCTTATATTTTAATTTATTTGGTATTGGAAAGTTACATGAGTGGCTTCATATAAAAGATGGACATTTGTCATTTTCAGAAAGCCGAGAAAAAGTAAATTTTTCTTTTATAGATTCAACTTAGACAATTTCTGATGATTTCATTTAAGATTTTTCAAGTTGAACCATAAGAAAAAAATCCTTTGAATTGTTTAAAATTGAAGCTATGTTACAGAAAATTGGCTCAACTTTTTAAAACAGATATCCATGTATTAAACCACTCATATTATAATATGTATCGTATATGTATAGTTTTAATTCATTTCTTGCTGTTTTTACTGCAACCAACCGCTATTGTTATTTATTATTTTCATTTACCATATTATATGTAATATATAATATGGAAAGTATCGCGATCCTGAAAAAAAATGTTAAAATCTGGCTTTTCAACGGAAAAAAACCTTTGAAGTCCCTTGAGTTGAGTCGTACTAGCCAAGTTCAGCAAAATGGTCCGTGTTTGTGAACAGTGTGGCTTAAAAACGAAAAGTCGTACGAAATTGAAATCGGTGCATCATTGTGTAATTAAGTGATCTTTAATATTTAGGTTTTATTCCCATTGACGTCACTTTACAATGCTCAAATGCCCAATGTTCAACATTATTCCTCTAAAGTACCTTTAATTTGGTTTATTTCAAATAATTAACTATCTCTCTTATGAAGAAATGATAAATATAACTTTTGAAAGTATTTGATAATTGAATAATGGAGAAAAAAGGGAAAATATTTATTTAGGTCGAAAATGAATCTCTGGAAATAATATATCGTTGAAAAATTTTAGAAAAATAATATCTATTATAAATAGCCATAGAAATTAATGGAGAGTGACGAAAAATTGTTATAGTTACATAATTAAAGCTACATAATTGGTTTAGAAGTAAACTAGCGTTTTTGGATGTACATATTAATTTGGAAATGAAGATTTTCTACAATGAATGAACATATACATAGCCGTCCCTTATACTACACTATTCTCTTATCGTTCCTAGAAGGCTGGTGGTCAGAGTCCATCCCTTCAATTTCCCTTATGCTAAAGGGGACAATTAGGGAATATAGGCCCTTCATTATTTCCGAAACTCTCCCACTCACTACAACTTATATTTCACTAATAAAAAATTTAATTATGTTGTTATTATTATTTTTGCTATTATTATACTTTTAAAATTATTATTATTATACTTCTACCTAAATAAAATCTAGTGAGACGAAACTTCTTGGTTCAAATTATTTTCTGAATATTTAAGAAGTAGGCTAAAAGCTAAAAAAGAAAAAAATTATTGAGAACGTTATTTTCTCCAGTCCACTTCATAGAATTAGTTTGATATTAGCCAGATAATGATATATAACTGCTTCTTCTTTTCTTAAAAATTGGCGTGAAAACGTGTTGAAATATCCATTAAACATCGAGTAACTAAAGAAGGTAACTGGGCTGTTCAAATACATAATAAACTATTATCTTTTTTGCAATATTCTTTTAACTTTCACTTACATGCATGTATATGTAATATATAGTAAGGGTAAGAATTGCGATAGTGAAAATTTTTAAATCTGAGTTTTCAACAGAAATACACGTTTTAGGGTACCCTGAGTCCAAATAACCAAGTCCCGAAAAATGGTCTGTGTGTATGTTAACACTCTAGCTCGAAAACATAAAGTCGTACGAAATTGATATAACGTATTTAAGATAGGTATATGCCTTAGGTGCCGTAGCAACTTTTTCCTTAAAATAGGCTTACCGGAAGTGGCACTTTATATAAACGCTGAATAACATTTTTCTCAAAAACGGCTCTAACAATTTGATTACACTCGGTTTATCATTGTAATTAAGTGGTATTTGATATCATTTAGGTCTTATTCCCGTTGATGTCACTTGCCCAATGTTCATATGCATCTTCCTCTAAAGTACCTTCAATATGGTTTATTTTAAATAATTAACTATCTATAATTATTGCCTGCCGATGGTTGGAACTAGCCAGAGACCCCTTCTCTGGTAAGTAGTCTAATCTACTATTGATGGCCAGCACCCTAAGGAGAGGAGGCGAAGGTGACAACAAGGGTTGGTCAGGCTCCCCGTGCCGCGGGCGGGAAACCCCTCTTCGGTAGGCTAGAGCCTGGCAACTCGCCCACGAGCCTGTCAGGAGGCAGCCCCTATACCTGACCAGGAGGGAGAGGGCTGATAACCCTCCCTTCTGAAACTTCTTCATCCTGAGACCTCAACGAGAAATAGCCGGCAGATCATATGGTAACAGACACGGAAACCGTCAAATGGACTTCAGACTAGGAATGTGGAATATTTTAATTTTATATAGACCGGGTGGGCTTCAAGTCCTCCTTTCAGAACTGGACAAATACAGACTTCACATTACTGCTCTTCAGGAGATCCGCTGGACCGGCCATGGCCTGTTGGAGAAGAAATTCCATACAATATATTATAGCGGCCACAAGAAGAATCACTCATTTGGCACTGGATTCGTTGTGAGAGGTTGGATGAGACAACAGGTTATTGGATTCATTGACCGCCTATGTTCCATCCGCATCAAGGGAACCTTCTACAATTACATGCTCTTTAGCTGTCATGCACCCACAGAAGCCTCAAGCGACGATGAGAAAGAAGCCTTTTATGTATGCCTCTTGACCGAGCCTTTGAAGTATGCTCCAGATCCGATAAATAATCTTATTGGGGGATTTCAATGCAAAGATGCATATAAACCCATAATTGGCTCATTTTGTTTGCACGAAGAAAACAATGAAAACGGCAAGAGGGTCATTGATTTTACATCATCAAGAAATCTAGTGGTTGGGGGTACTTTGTTTACTTGATTTACAAGGTTACATGGAAATCACCAGATTGACCACATCTTAATTAGTGCACTTTACAAATCCAAGGGCTACTCCTTCGGCCATCTTGGTTGAATCTAGGTTATCCACAATGTTTCAGATAAGGTTTACAAAATATAGCACCAAAAAGAGCCACTATTGCGGAAGGGTACAGTGGCTTAATAATAAAGTGGGGTCATATGGATTCACTTTTTGATTGGTTGGCCATCTTGGATCGTACCTTGCTATCTGCTTGCTCTATAGGCACCTCAAAACTGTTAAATTTTCATATTTTATTAGCAGTATGTTAGTTTAGCAGCTTAATTTTGTTTAAGTGATAGGTTTAGTTTATTAATAGATAGTTTTTATTGAGTAGTACGTTTTAGTGTTTAAAGTGATAGTTTTGGTTTCATGTTCATAGACTTAAAATCGTGAGTATACTTTTAATTCTTTACTTTATTTTATTAATTTTCCTTTTTAATTCAGTGGCAATGAAAGAAAAATTTGGAAATCAAGTTTGAAACTTGGTTATATGAAGATAGTGCCTATAGTTCGAGGCTACTAGCTAACAAAAGTTTTATCTTGAAGCTAGTAGTTTCTAGTATAAAATTTAAATTTGGTTTTCCTTTACAGCTTTACTTTCATCAGTAAATATGAGTATAGTTGATGAACCTTAGGTTTATTGAAATCTTTAAGTAACCAAAACTAGTTCTTTTATGCCAGAATAAGTGTTATCAATAAGTGTTGTTGTCAATATTTATCATGATTGATTTTTAAGAAATCGATTGTTGTGCTACAAAAGTTCTGAAATGAAATTACTATTTTTCTTATTATTAAAATTCTAAAACTGTTAATGTTTATTCAAGGTGGTTTTTTATCATTTAAGGTAAAGATTATCCCTTAAGGATCATCAACTATAATCAATTCAACTATGATTTAAGGATCATCAACTACACTCATATTTTAATTTTGAAAGTAACAATAACTATAAAAGAAAACCAAATTTCAATTTTATACTTGAAACCACAGACTTAAAAACAAAAATTGTATCAGCTAATAGCCTCAAACTATAAAAATATCTTCTATAACCATGTTTTCAACTTATTTTCAATCTTTTTCTTTCATAACCACTAAATTATAAAGGGGAATCAATAAAATAAAGTAACAAATTAAAGGATTAAGTCATTTTTGAAACCTATATAAGTCAAATCAACTCAGTAAGAGGTGATTTAAGAGGATTTTTCATAGAGAAAAATGAGTTCTGTTGATGAAGAACACATAATTAATTGTCACAATATTAAAGATAGTATTCTTAAGAGGTTTATTATATTTAGACTTAGGATAAATTCAATAAGTAAAAAGAATTTTCCTCAGATCTATGTTTTTAGCAATAAATCTGTAAATGTATATGTGCTGTATTTATAAATTTAAATTCCTTTGTAAATAAATAAATAAATATTCTCTGTTTTATTTTATTTTTTTATATTCCTTTGTTGATAAAAAATGTTTTCTTTTTCAAGTTAAATTGGATAGTTCTTGAATCAATTGATAATTGATTGTATTTTATCCTTACAGTTTTATGTTTCACTATTAGTTATTTTTACGTGAAAAATGGCAATGAAAAATAAATATAAGAAGGGAAAGCTTAGAATCTGGACTAATGGAAAATTCAGGTGTGACTAACATCATTACAATTTATTATATTATGATCATTAATCCATTTCATTGATAACAGGTATATTGATATTGATTGGTAAATAGAAATTTTCAAATTATACAAAAACTAAGTTATACCACTCCGAAACTAATACTCTCCTACCGCATTTAACAGGCTTAAAAGTAAAATGATCAATTTTTTTCTACTTTAGATGCAATATACAATATCTAAATTATGGTAAGAGGTAAACCATTTCATAAAAAATATTTTATATCAATGACAAGACATGAATCTACTGATTGAGGATCAAATTTTGAACTATTTAAATTTGTAATAATAGTGGATTTATAATAGTTAGTGCTGTCCAAAATCGGTCTTTACATGACCAAGAC